TGCATAGATGACAACAAAACGACTATTGACAGATGATGCGCGAATGGTTCGCGATCCATCTGCATTTGTAAACTTCGCCAGTTTTTCGTCGTATTCAATGTTCTTCCGCGTTGCGCATAGCTCGCTAACCTTCATGCCGCCCTTCGTTAGCGTATAAATTGCAGAATGTACGCATCATGAGCCGGACTACGAAATTTATTTCGGACTAAGAACTACTACATATCATCGTTTGCGCTCAAAGCCCATAAAGCATTCAAAATATTCAAGAATTATTGCTGTTATTGTGCATTTTCAATTGAGAAAAATCCCTTCTTCAACTTCTTTTAAGGGCGCTGTAACACTCATGCTCCAAAGTGTTTCAGGAAAGCACTTTTTTTTCTTAGTTGCTCAATTGAAGAGCTTGATAATTTTCATCTGTCATGAAGTTTTGCTACGGTGCTCAAAACTCCTGCTCCATTCTTCCCGAACAAAATCAATGTTAGCTCATGGATTCTACTGAAATAGTGTTATTGTTTTAATTTTAGGGTAACTGAACCATAAACTTCTCATATAATGTCGCAGACGATTTGGGTAAGTGAATACGCTCCTTACCGGTCAATTTTCCAGAGAATATATAATTTACCGCAAGAGCTTTTACTCGTATAATGCAAGTCCCACAAGTGAAAGTATCAATGAGAAGTACTATATCGCCATATTCTTGCATGATCAGGCTCATATCTTAAAAAATTACCGTGTCAGTCATTTCCAGCTTTCACGTATTCTTCCGATACTAAGATTACAACACAATGATGAGTCACATTTCGCTCTTTGTTCAATCATTGAAAGCACAGACAGAGTGATCAACTACCCATCTAACCGGAACTTCCGCAGAACTTAGGAAAGTTCCTTTGGGTCACCTGCGAAAGTTGAGTAAACGTGCTGCGGAAATTCCCACATGAGGTACTGAGGAAATTCCGAAAAATGCGAACCACAACAGCGAAAGAGAACACCTAGGAGAGAATCGAACTTTACTCTATTGAATGCGATAACAAGACAATGCACTTTAGTTGTGGCGAGATTGGTAAGATACAACACATTCAAAGTACTGCGGAAGTACTGGAAGGCCCGTTGCTACGGAACCACTAGCATTTTTCGAAATTTCCGCAACGCTTCGTAAAAAGTCCTGCGGAAGTTTGCGTTTTCAACTAATTCGTGAAGATCCTGCGAAAGTTCCCATTTTCAACGCTTCCACTTTTGTAATAGTAAACAAAGTCCTGCAAAACCGCAAGACTTTTGATTTGTCGAAGTTCCGGTGAATTGTCTAAGTAGACCATTAGAGTGATATCTTTACAAATAGTCTCAAAATAAAGACTGGTCTTTCAGATTTTGCTAGCAGCTATTGCAGTACCGTCATTTGCAGGTGAGAACTTACTGCATTTTACGCATTTTTTACACTTTTAACATAAACCAAGACTTAAAACAAGTATGAGAAAAAATACCAACACAATTAATGCTTTTTTTC